AAAAAGGTACGGATACCGACCCTCTGCCAACTGATATCGGCTTCCAAGATTGTTGGTGTACCGCCTGGTCTATAAGTTGTGCCAGTCTCTCCATGCATAAAACAAACAGGTATGGGGATATGGGATCGCCCTGCCGAACACCCCTTGTGGGGAGGAATTCGTCTCCAAGCGTCCCGTTCCAAAGCAGCCGCATCGAAGCTGACCGCACGCAGGCCATAATGGCTGTAATCAAGATGGTGGGGAATCCAGCAAAGTGCAGGGTTTCCTCAATGAAGTCCCATCTAAGGAAATCATAAGCCTTCTCTAGATCAACCTTGATGACCATGTGGCCCGTCGCCCCTTGTTTGCGTCGCATAGAGTGTATCAGCTCGTGAGCCACTACAATGTTATCTATTATCTGGCGTCCCGGGACGAAGCTTGCTTGAGCTGGATGAATTAAGGCGGGCAAGGAACCTTTCATCCGATTAACCAACACCTTCGTGTAGAGTTTGTAAATGACGTTCAATAGGCTAATAGGCCGGAATTGCTTAATGGATGTCACGTTGTCCACTTTGGGAATGAGGACTAATAAGGTTTGGTTTATCTTAGGAGGTATTGCGCCGGAGCTCCACATGGTGCGAACGAAATCCGTAACTGAGCGGCCTACGGTAGTCCAATTCTTTTTGAAGAATAATGCGTTGAGGCCATCAATCCCCGGGGCTTTTAAGGACCCCATGTTCTGTAGAGCCGAGAAAATTTCGTCGTCCGTGATTTCCTCTGTCATGGCTTGCAAGCACTCCCTCTCTCCCTGTTGGAATAGGTTGGGTGTAACCTCGGCTGCGGCCCGTGGCTGCCCGCCCGTATAGATGCCTTGAAAGAAAGCGGACGCTAATTGTTGAAGCTCTTTCTGGTCGGTAACGTGAATGCCCTCATCGGTGACTAGCTCCGTAATCCGACCACGTCGTCTTCTGAATTTGATTTGCCGATAAAAATAGGATGTGTTCCTATCCCCCAAGTGCAACCAATCCCGCGTGGCCTTTTGGAGGAGAAGCAGTTCCTCCTGTAGTATGACATCGTCTAACTCCGCTTTCAGTTGTTGTTCTAATGCCATAAGTTTGTTCGAGACATAGTATTGTCTGCTTCGCTGTATTCCTCCAATGGGGTCCTTAAAAGCCATGATTCCATTGGCGTGCGAAGCGAGAGAATGGAATTCCAATGGTCTTTGGTAAAGCGAGAGAAGCTGCACGCTTGTATTCCTCCGTGCTTTCGCTTGTAAATTGGCGTGCAGCTTCCGTGATTTCTTACGGTTAAAAATATTACCAAAGACCATGAAATTCCATTCTCTCGCTTTGCTTGTAAATTGGCGTGCAGCTTCCAGGTATGAAAGAGTAGGTTGCCATGATTCCTGTAGCATAGGGGAAAATTCCGGGTGGAGGAGCCACGATGCTAAAAAACGGAAGGGTTTCGCCCCTTGACATGCTAATCTCGGCCGACCAAAATCCACTAGCAAGGGTGCGTGGTCAGATTGAATGCGGGGAAGTAGCCGGACCCGGCCCGACTCGTATTCCTCCATCCACTTCGTGTTAGCTACAAACCTGTCCAATCTTTCCATGACCCTCCCCGATTGTCCATTACGAAACCATGTGAACTTATGCCCATCTGTATTTACTTCTTGAATGCCATTGAAAAACATCCAGTCCGCGAAATCCTTACTCACGTTGCAGAAACGGCGGGACCCCCCCATCTTATCAGACTGGCGGAGTAGGCAGTTAAAATCTCCACCGACGAGCCATGGTTCTGAAATACTTGCTGCAAGGTTCCCAAGGTCAGGCCACAGTAGTCGCCGGTAAGAAGGGTTGGGGCTGGCGTAAATAAATGAAATAGCGCATGCCTCCTCGTCTTTGCGGGCCCGAACATGGACAAGTTGCTGGGTACAAAACAAGACTTCCACATTTACACTTTCTCTCCATAAAAGCCAAATTCCACCAGCAAATCCCCGAGCTTCTACACGAAACGAGTTCTCAAACTGACTATAACGCACAAAGCTATCAGAAGTTGCCCCACTAATGCGGGGTTCGAAAAGAGCTACAATGTCTGGAGAGTGTTGTCGAATTATAGTGGAGAAGGCTCCCCGAAAATTCGGCGACCCGGCTCCTTGAACGTTCCAAGAGATAACTATCATGGGAAACATAAGAGGGGAAGGGACTGGGAACAGGCGGCTAAGAGGGAGCATGGCCACGAGTGCCAATGTCCTCCTCACTACGCATCATCTGGTCGATCATCTCCGAACTTCCCATTAAGTGGGGTCGAGTTTGGTGTTCCTCCGGCCATGGCTCTTGTAGTCGAATAACATGTTCGCCCTCTGACATATCATCCTCATCGATGTTTTCGACCATAGGATCCTCGTGGGTGGTTTGGTTAGGAAGAGGGCTGCTAGTGGTCTCATCTATAATGATGGCCCTGTGCTTTGTCGGGTTCAGTCCAGCTCCAACATGTATCGGTCCAGCATTTTTCTGTTTCAGTTCGTTTGTGGATGTGCCTGCTAAGTTCATCGCGTTCGATTTGGGCTCAGTTGGAAATTTCTGTTGTTGGGCCGTTGAGGTCGGCTTTCTTGCTTGTTCCTTAGGCCCACTAAGAGTCACAGGCCCGGAGATTGGTGTCTTGCCTTTTCTCCGCGACGTTACTACTCGCCACTCCCTTTCACCCGAGAAATCCGCGCTTCGCTGAGGTAATGGATTGGGTTCCTTAAACTGCTCATCCGATTGGGTCCTGAATTCAAAGGTAACGTGATTTTCCTGGTTTGGCTCCTTTTCCAAGATATCAAATCTCGTTCCATAATTGGGGCTATTGTGCGGATTTCTAGCGATCTGTGTAATCCCCTTATCGCGCCGTAGATTTTGCTGCCGGTTACGCTGTGGAACCTGTATCCACGGGCCGTACGGCGAGGATAGCCCAACATCAGTCGTCTTGTCCGTGGTCCCAGTGGTTTCGCCTACGCCATGTGATGTATCAGCAGTGGCCTTGTTCTCGTTAGTTGGGGGGTTATGGAGGCACGAGGAGCTGGAATGACCTAGACGTCCACATTGGAAGCAAATTACAGGCATATTTTCGTAGATGACTCGTTGTTGTTCCCATTTATGGAGAAGTTAACGCAAAGTGGCTTAGTTATATCAACAACCACTGCAAGTCTCGCATATTTTCCTCGAGTCCGGGCGGCCGTTTGTTGGTCTATCTTGACGACCTTGCCCACTATTCGTCCAATAGTACGAAAAACTTTCTTATGGTAGAGGTGGGCGGGCATGCCAGGTAGCCGAATCCATGCAACTATAGATGTCACTGTTGGTGTTATATACTTAAGCTTTGCTTTAGTGGATATTACACTTGTTATTCCT